GCGTGTTGCGTTCTACCTCTCCTCGTCCTTCCCACCTTCCTCAGTCTCACAACAGTTTCCAGGCCTTAAACCCGACCACACCCACCACCTCCTCCCCTATTCCTTTGCCTCCTGTCCCAGATGGTCTCCCTCCTGGTTCTCCATCTGGGGTTTCCCCCCTTCCTATCCAGTCTACCATATCTCCTTTGTCTTCTTCCCCATCTCCCCCCACTCTTTTTTCCCGACCCTCCCCCCAGTCTCTTGACCCTCCACGCCAATTGTCTGTCCAGGCTGATATCCATCATCCTCCCAGCAATCTTCGTGTTATTCGCTCCCGCTCCTCTTCTGCAGAGACCATTGAATCTGTCGCCCGGTACGTTGTTACTGGAACGCCTGTCTCTTCGAGTCAGAAACGTAAGCCTGGCTCCTCTCCTGCGGGTAAGAAGACTTCGCTCTCTTCCTCACCCCCCTCCCTCTGACTCTGTTACTACATCCCCTCCCATTTCAGTGGTCGAACCCCCTGTCCCAGATATGGAGGTTTCTTTCACCCCCGATTCCCTCTCGGTTGCTGCCCTTGCTGAGGCGCACTCCCTGCCTTCTGCCCCCCTCCTCCAGCTGTCCTTGCCTGCCCCTCTCAGTTGTCTCCTCCCCCTCCGGACCTTGTCAGTTCGCCTCTGGTCTGTCCTCTTGCTCCCTTCCCTCTATCCTTACTAAGTTTACCCATGCCCCCAAACCCTGATTTTGCCGACCCTGCTCCTGATCCTGACCATGATCCTGAGATTCTTTAATAAGCTGTGTTCTTCTTTACCTTTATTTTTTTTTGTTCTCTGTTACTGTCCTTTCTCTTTGATAATGTCTATTCTTCAGTGGAATAATCGTGGATTTTATGCCAACTTCCATGAACTCCAACTTCTAATTACACAGTTTTCACCGCTTTGTGTTTGTCTCCAGGAAACAATGCTTGGTGCTCGTCCTGGTCACTTTCGTGGTTATTCCTTTCTCCCCCCCCCCCAGCTCTTGCTGGGGCCCGTAATTCGGGTTCGTAATTCTCTTAATTCGATCTGATATTTTCTTTGTCCCCCTACTTCTTTCGTCACCAATCCATTGTTCTGCTGTCCATGTTTTTGTGGGTAAATGGTATACAGTCTGTTCCATTTATCTCCCCCCAAATGTCCCGCTTTCCCTCCCTGATCTTAAGCACCTCCTGGACTCCTTGCCAGAGCCGGTGCTCCTTTTGGGTGATTTCAACTGTCGACATTCCCTCTGGGGTGATGTTCTGACAAACACCCGAGGCTGTCTTTTCGAACCGTTCGTCCTCACTTCTTCTCTATCTCTTCTGAATTCTGGTGAGCCCACTCATGTGGACTCTCGAACTTGCACCCTTTCCTGTCTTGATCTTTCTCTCTGCTCGTCGTCCCTTTACTTAGATTTCACGTGGCAGGTTCTTGATGACCTCCATAACAGTGATCATTTCCCTGTCCTCGTTTCCTTTTTCTCTTTTCACCCTCCCCTCTCCTTCCCTAGGTGGCAGTTTGCCAAGGCTGACTGGTGCCTATTCACCCTCCGTGCTACTCTTTCTGACCTCTCCTCTCTGCCTCTTCCTTGCGCTCTCCTTCTTTTTTATGACACTGTCTTCATCGCTGCCCTCCACTCTATTCCGCCCTTTTCCTCCCGGGGCACACGGAAGTGCGTTCCCTGGTGGAATGCGGACTGTGCTCGGGCTATCTGTTGTAAGCGTGCAGCCTGGAAGAAACACCGCCGCCGGCAGACGGCTGATTCTTTTATTCTGTTTTGGAAGGCAAGTGCGGTGGCCCGTAGGACCATCCGTACAGCTAAACGTGAGAGTTGGAAATCTTCTGTTTCCACCATTACGTCCGATACTCCTCTGCCGCAGATCTGGAAGAAGATCCGCAACATTGCGGGCAAGATCATTCCGGATGTCTCGCCGGTTCTCCACCTCCGTGGAGAACCGGCGAGACATCCGGATCCGCCACCGTGGTACTCCGTGGTACTCTTGTGGCGGATCCGCCACCGTGGTACTCCGTGGTACTCCAGTGCAGGTCGCGACCGACCTGGGTTCCCACTTTTCTTCTGTTAGCTCTGGTTCTCATCTTCCTCAATCCTTCCTTCTTCGTAAGCCTGTTCTTGAATCTTATCCTTTAGATTTCCGTACTCATCTCCGCTTTCCCTTTAACGATCCTTTCTCTCTTTCTGAACTTCAGTCTGCCCTGGCCCTCTGCGGATCTACAACGGCGGACTCGGATGACGTTCATTATGAGATGCTTCGCCATCTCCCTCCGTGCACGTCTCAGTATTTACTGAGTCTGTATAACCAGCTCTGGGAGTCGTCGTCAGTCCCTGAGTACTGGATCGATGCCATTGTACTCCCTATTCGGAAACCAGGGTCTCTCGGTACCTCCCCTAAGGACTTCCGCCCTATTGCTCTCACGAGTTTTGTTTGCAAGCTCTTTGAGCATATGGTAAATGACCGTCTGATGTGGTTCTTCGAACACCATCGCCACCTCTCTCCTTCTCAATTTGGTTTTCGCAAGTGCCGCAGCACGACTGATGTCCTGGTGAACTTGGAAGTCTATATTCGTACTGCTTTTGCTGTGAAGACCTCCGTTGTTGCTGTAATTTTTGACCTGGAAAAGGCTTATGACACGACTTGGAGATACCATATTCTGTCCCAACTTCGTTCTTTTGGCCTTTGAGGTAATCTCCCTCTCTTTCTTCAAAGCGTTCTTTCTCGTCGTACCTTTCGGGTCAGGCTTGGTGCCACTCTCTCTACCTCTTTACAGCAGTATGAAGGTGTGCCCCAAGGTAGTGTTCTGAGTACTACTCTTTTTCCGGTTGCCCTCAATGGTCTTCTTTCCTCCCTTCCTTCTGGCATCTTCTCTGCTCTTCATGTTGACGATCTTACTCTTTGCTGTCGGGGTGATGATTCGCCTCTCCTTCAACGGTGGCTTAAACTTGCGATTGATGTCGTGTCATCTTGGGCCACCAATCATGGCTTCAAGTTCTCTAGTACTAAGACTTGTGCCACGACTTTTACTCGGAAGCGGGTCGTTCTTCGTCCCTCTTTGTCACTTTATGGTTATCCCCTTGAGTACAAAGATTCCGCAAAGCTTTTGGGGTTATTCTTTGACACTCGTTTGTCTTGGTCGCCCCACGTCTCTTACCTCCGTGTTGAATGCTGTAAGGCCTTTAACCTACTTAAGGTTTTGTCCCATACTTCTTTGGGAGCGGATAGGCGCACACTCCTCTATTTGCATTCCTCTCTCGTCCTGTCTAGACTCGATTATGGTTGCCCTGCCTACTCTTCTGCTTCTCCTTCTACTCTTCGCCGTCTTGATCCTTTGCACCATACTGGGTTGCGCCTCAGCTCTGTTGCTTTTTGTTCAACTCCTACCGTCAGCTTGTACGCTGACACTGGCTTTCTGTCTCTCCAGGATCGCCGTGATCGCTGCAGTCTTTGCTATCTTGCGCGATCCTTACAGCATCCTCACTCTCGCCTCTATCGTGCTTTGACTGTCGTGCTGACGGTGTGGGGTACTCTGTTGTTTTTCCTGACCACACTTATATGTGTCGCCTTCCTCCGGAGGCTAGCATCTTCACAGCAGAACTTTATGCTATACTCTTCGTCTCCTGCTTTCCCGGTGTCAATCCTCCTTTGTGGTGGTAGTTGACTCTCGTAGTGCCCTCATGGCGTTAGGGTTCTTTAATCCGGTCCACCCAGTGGTCATCGAGATTCAACATTGGCTGTTTCTTATCTCCATTAAATTTAAGTCAGTTGCATCTTGCTGGGTTCCCAGCCATGTTGGTGTCTCTTTAAATGAGCGTGCGGATGCTGCCGCTAAGGAAACTATCTGCGCGTGTCCCATCTCTCATAAAAGTATTCCTTATTCCGACTTTTACCCAGTTATTCATGCCTCCATCCTTGTCCGCTTGCAGAGTTGTTGGTCTTCTGTTATTGGTAACAAACTGCGTACTATTAAGAGTCTCGTGTCCCAGTGGCCTTCATCCTGCTACCGTAACCGGCGGTGGGAAACGGCTCTTGCTAGGTTACGTATTGGCCATACCCATTTAACTCACGGTCACTTAATGGAGCGCCGCCGTGCTTCTTATTGTCCACATTGCATTGTCCCTCTTACGGTCGTGCATATCCTTGTTGATTGTCCTGACTTCCAGGACGAGCATGTGTCTTGTTTTCCGACCGTCCCTCGCTGTCGCTTGTCCCTCGATAGAATTCTTGGCGACTCAGATACTTTTGATATCGTTCGCCTTATGCGTTTCTGTTCTCGTATTGGCATCCTTGGTGATATTTAGCGCCCTCTGATTATCCCGCACATTTGATGGTGCTACATAGCCTTCCCGGTTTGGTGCCTTCTATTGATAATTACTTACTTCCCTTGACGCAATGCACGAAGGTTATCGATCAACGATGACGGCACATTGCAGCTCTCCCCAGACATTTTTACCAAACTAACTTTTCTCATTCGGTGATGCTTGCTCTTGCTCCCTATGATTCGCCATCATTGGTTAAAGAAACAAGAAATGAGAAACAATAGATTGATGATAAAATAATTTTTATTTAAATAAAATTAATATACAGCAACCTTTAAAAACAGAATTGCACCAATGATTTTTGTTAATATGTTAAAAAACGTTCAGATCTCATTATGATACACTATGATCTCATCTGTGATGTTTAGGTGTAATCTGCAAATATACGTATTTTTGCCTCTTGGTAAAATCAGAATAGTCTACACCATGCAAACGATGAATCACAGTACCATGGCTGGTGTATTATAACCAAACCATACATCAGAAAATGAAGAAACGACGAAGCTTCGGTCCATCCTGGACCATTATGGAGGAATATAAACGTCGTCCTTTCTTCATTTTCTGATATGTGGTTTAGTCATTAGGTCTGCAGGATGTAACTGTGTTAATTAGGAATATGTGCAGTGTGTCAAGTACTAAGACTGGTATTATTACAAAAGTTTGTTCATTTTCAGGCTAAATATGGCCGCAAGTATAAGAACTCAGAAGAAGAAAATTACCGAAGGAGTGTGTTCCAGACAAATCTTCAGCACATCATAGAGTTTTTGAAGGGGAACTCTACCCACAACGTGGCGATGAACGAGTTTGGTGACATGGTTGGTCTTTGTGCCATGTGGTTATTATTGTGTTGGAATTTTTACCCGGGATGAACCACTGGAACCGAAAAGTTAACCAGTACTAGTCTCTAATGCATAATATTGTATTTCCTGAAAGATATGATTAAATTTCACAAACAAGCATTGGCTCAACCTATGGTGCAGAGGTCAAAATACTCATCTCGCTGTCAAGCAGAAACGGTTCGAATTTTGAGGTTGGTGGGACGATGGTTCTCCAAACGTTAATTTCGCTCAGTTTTGTGCACTGAGCCTTTACTATGTTCATCTCACTATTCTGGGCCTTCACTACCACACAATATTCAGTTCGCCCTTGTAGAACGACACAATACTCAGTTCTCCCTTAAACAACGACATAATATTTAGTTCTCCCCTGTACAGCGACACAATATTCAGTTTGCACCTGTACAACGACACAATTTTCAGTTAGCCCCTGTACAGCGACATTATTTACAATTCGTACCTGTACAATTACACAACATTCAGTTTGCCCCTGTACAACGACACAATATTCAGTTTGCCCCTGTACAACGACACAATATTCAGTTTACCTGTGCACGACACAACATTCAGTTCGCCCCTGTACAACGACACAACATTCAGTTCGCCCCTGTACAACGACACAACATTCAGTTCGCCCCTGTACAACGACACAACATTCAGTTCGCCCCTGTACAACGACACAACATTCAGTTCGCCCCTGTACAAAGACATAACATTCAGTTTCCCCTGTATAACGAAACAATATTCCGTTCGCTGTTATGAACTAGCAAATGCGTGACAATTATTTTCCTGGATAGTAGGTGTTATTTGCTGATTGCTAATGGATCCAAAATACAGAAAATGGCGGTTATTGTATTCAACAGTTGGTTTAAACTTTGACTGAGAGAGTTTAGGGAAGACGTGTTGAAGGTTTGTGAATGCTGCTGACTTACGAAGCAATGTGTCACAGCTCTAGATAAGGTGTTGGCAGCCTTCAAGCACCTCAGAGAATGGTCCAGGACGGACCGAAGCGTCGTCATCCCTTCACCTTCTAGTGTGTGGTCTGGTCATTATACTTTAGCCACGTTATTGTGACTCATCGCCTGCACCTCAGAGACCTCTTCCCTGAGCTTTCTTAAGCATTGGTCAAAGCCAATTTTGAGAGGAATATTAACCATTTGCTATAATTCAGAGGCATAAGCAGCCAGAAAATAATACTCTCCAGGGAGTAGGGAGCCGGTCGGCCGAGCGGACAGCACGCTGGACTTGTGATCCTGTGGTCCCGGGTTTGATCCCGGGCGCCGGCGACAAACAATGAGCAAAGTTTCTTTCACCCTATGCCCATGTTACCTAGCAGTAAAATAGGTACCTGGGTGTTAGTCAGCTGTCATGGGCTGCTTCCTGGGGGTGGAGGCCTGGTCGATTACCGGGCCTCGGGGACACTAATGCCCCGAAATCATCTCAAGATAATCTCCAGTAACAAAAATAGTGTTAAGTTGTATAACAATGCATTAATTAAGTTCACCCCTTTCCACGTAGCAATAGTCAGGGACCTAGAAGATTAGCAATTCGTATTCTGAAGATATATGATATTGACTGACTAAACCAATTTCAGTATTTAACCTGAGTTCTAAATCGAACGTATAAGATTATCAATAAGATTATCATACTTTTGGCCTCATACTTGTAAAATATTTATAGAAGCGCATTAAACACATTGCCCCATCACGAGTATAAACAAACTTGTTGTATGACAGACGAATGCAGAATTCAACAAAAGGATGAACGGATACGTACCTTCGTCGTCCCGAGAAGCCAACACAGCATTCATCCCCCAGACAAGGGTCCTGCCAGCTGCTGTGGATTGGCGCACCAGCGGCTACGTCACTCCTGTCAAGAACCAGTTACAATGTGGCTCTTGTTGGGCGTTTTCTGCGGTAAGTATTTTGTCCGCATACCAAGGGGTTGTAAATGGCCAGAGTGTTGTAAGTGATACTCTTGTAGCAAGCGGTCTGCATGACAAGTTAGAGGTCCACTTCTTGGTAAAGTTTACTTCTTCAATAAAAAAAATTTCTCACCTATAGGCGGACAGCCTCTTCTTCGAGGATTTTTTTTATAACCATTTACAATATACGTCTACCTTCAAAAAGAACTGTTTTACTGAGAAAATTGACAGGAACAGTAACGAGAATTCGAACCTATGCGCAGGGTATTCCCAGACACCTTGGTATTTTAGCTGGAGTCCCAGCTATTATGTGGATATTCCTATTGATATATCATGGTACTGTGATTTCTCTTTGAAATGTTTTATTGTTACGTTGACCAAATTAAAATGTCTGGTCCAAAGAAAATTCTGCAGCTTCAGTGACACGCAAATTGACTTTGAGTCCTATAATTAAATTTTTGTTAGTTTCAGCATATACTTTATATACAACAAATGCAACAAGACATGCATAAAGGCCAGGAAAAAGTAAATACTATAGTAGCCAAAGTGAAAGATGAAATTTAAATACTTTTAGATTTTAATCATAGCGAGACAGATTAAATCATTCATTCATTCAGTACATTCTGTTCAAAAGCGCACACAAAGAAAGTTTCATTTCATCACCCACAGGATATACATTTTAGTCCATTACGCACAGGATATACACTCTAGTCTATCACACACAGGATATATATGCACTTGTCATGACCTTATTCTCCACATCATCACTGGAATCCATTGCCTGGCCAAATCAATACTCGTCTAGGGTTAAGTAAAAGGCTAGCAAAAGTACTCCAATTTACAGGGGCATATAACATAGATCACCGTAAAACAATAAGAAACTACAGTTCTTTTCAATTCATACTCTGTCGCATTATTCAGCTTCCTAAAGCTCTTCGAAATCATCAACAGGCCTTAAACTGCACACCCTCAGGACTACCTGACACGAGGCTCTATCCTGGCACAGCAGTACACTAGCACCCAGTATGCTGTAAACATAATTACAGGATGGTGGTGGCACACTCATTAATTAATGGGGTTGAGGAATCAATATCATATCAAAGCACAACAGCATCACTTATGATCCTCAGGTACCTACCTCAATATGTATACATAAAATCACCTACCAACTGGCATAAACGATGTATATCGGTAGAACTGATCCAGGACAGATATAATATTATATATAGCATAATATTATATATACTATAGTCAATAAACACACAAAATGCCATATAAAGCAAGGGCTGGACGTCACACGTCCTGTGGGGAATTCTGGCTCCTGTATAATACTAATAAAATGTATAATTTTATGGATGCAATATAATGATAAATTCTAAGAACAAGGACCAGAAGGAGTAATTAAATGAGAAAATCAGTGCCTTATAGATCTATGATTATATGTGAATGAATTCTATTAAGCAATGACTGTAAATTATATAATTCTAGAGCCAGCCTCCCATGACACATTTAGGGGGGAGGGTATTCTATAAGATTAATCTATGTGTAACATATATTATGCAAAAATAATAAGTACAATATGCATGCACATAGATAATGAATAAAATATGTAATGCAAGAAATACTACTGTAATGTAAAGATTAATATGCATAAATGGCAGTATCAGATATATAGATATATGTATATGGACTCTGAATAATAAGGTACTATCTACAATAAAAACTGATTATATCTCAGCTGTGACAAAGGGACGTAGATGCAGTCCACTGTACGCCCGTCTGGAAGCAGTTTGAGATAGTGATACTTGGCACACGTGAGGGTATTGCGGTCACACGCTTCCTCAGGGGTGTTGCACCATGCTGCAATAATGATAATTCCGTAATTTCCCCCCAAACTAGTATTTACACACATATAAGGTAATATCTAAATATTTGGAGGGAAAAGAGCTGCACTTACGTGGAATTTTGGGTACGCCCACAGTGCGACGACATGGCTACCTATATTAATCATATTTAAGAGCTCTATAAATATTAATAAAAGGTAAAATGCCTGTCGAAGTAGTGTCCGTGATTCTGGCATCTAAGCTGCGTCCTCAATCTGGCATCTGAGGATGTTCGGATGCCGGCTGGATGAGCAGATTTGTTGGACCGCTTACGGAACACCTTCACGCTTCTTGTTGGTAATGGCAAGAGTCCTCTCTCCTCCCTCCCCAAAGTCGCGCATGCGCAAATAACTCACCGTGAGGATTCGAGCATAAATTATATTTATTTATTAACGCTAAATAGGGAAGGGGGCGTTTATGAACACTCTTGATGGTTTAGATAAATTCTTTATGCGGTGATGTTTAATTCTCACAGTGCACGTCAATTAATGTAGACTGCACAAATAAAACAATACTTGCTTGGTGGTGGAAATGATGTTAGATTATGATATTTTTTACTGGAACAGTAAACAGCTCTGCAGTAAGTGCTGGAGGTTTGGGCATGGTGCCCTCAAATGCTCTAGTCCTATCTCTCTCTGTCCCCTGTGTGGAAGCGAGGGTCACTGTAAGTTGGAGTGCACTTCTTCCCAGGCCCGCTGCCTCAATTGCAGTCAAGCCCACTCTACCTTCTCCCGTACGTTTATTCGTTACAAATCTGAGGCGGCTGTCCTCAACTTGAAGCACTGGGAGCGTTTGTCTTTTCCTGAGGCTTGGCGCCAGGTTCATCGTCTCCCCTCTTTCGCTGGTGTCTCCTATGCTCGCATGGTGCGCTCTTTCTCTCCTCGTCCTTCCCGCCTTCCTCAGTCTCACAACCGTTTCCAAGCCTTAGACCCGGACACGCCCGCCACCACCTCTCCTGTTTCCCTACGTTCTGTCCCGAAGGGTCCCCCTTCTGGTTCTCTGTCTAGGGCTCCCCTTCTTTCTACCCAGTCTGTCATGTCTCCTGTGTCTTCTTTTTCCTCTCCCTCTGGTCCTCCTTCCAGTCATTCTCCTCTGTCTTTTGGCTCTCCACGTCGCTTTACTGTGCGGACCGATGTCCACCGCTTTCTTGATGGTCGTGTTGTTCGCTCTCGCTCCTCTTCTCCTGTCGAGACGCTGGAGACTGTTGCCCAGTACATTGCTGCTGGGACGCCTGTATCTTTGAGTCAGAAGCGGAAACGTGGCTCCTCTCCTTCCTCCTCCAAAATCGGTAAGAAGGCTTCGCTTTCTTCTTCACCCCACTATCTCTGATTCTATCGTTCCTTCCCCTCCAGCTTCGGTGGTGGAGCCCCCTGTTCCTACTGTGGGGGTTTCCTTAGCCCCCGGTTCCATCTCGGTTACTGCCCTTGCTGAGGTGCGCTCCCCTCTTTCTGCCCCTACTCCTCCCCTTCCTTCTCCTCCAGACCCTGCTCGTCCACCTCTGGTCTGTCCTCCCGCTTCTTTCCCTCCTACTTTACTCAGTTTACCCATGCCCCCTAACCCTGACTTCACTGACCCTGATCCTGACCCTGTGCTTTTTTAGCGTGCTGTGTTTTTCTTCACCTTTGTTTCTTCTTTGCTCTCCTCTCTCTCTTTGCTGATGTCTTTTCTTCAATAGAACATCCGTGGATTTTACGCCAATTTCCTTGACCTCCAACTTCTCATTTCACAGTTTACAGCCCCTTTGCGTCTGTCTCCAGGAGCCGATGCTTGGTGCTCGTCCTGGTCGCTTCCGTGGCTATTCTTTCTTTCCCCCCCCCCCCCCCCAGCGACAGCTTGTGGTGGGGAGTTCTTCGTCCCTCTTTGTCGCTTTATGGTCATCCCATTGTGTGCAGGGATTCCGCAAAGCTTTTGGGGTTGGTCTTTGACACTCGTTTGTCTTGGTCAGCCCATATCTCTTACCTCCGAGTTGAATGCTGTAAGGCCCTTAACCTACTTAAGGTTTTGTCCCATACTTTTTGGGGAGCGGATAGGCGCACGCTCCTCTATTTGCATTCCTCTCTCGTCCTGTCTAAACTCGATTATGGTTGTCCTGCATACTTTTCAGCTTCTCCTACTACTCTTCGCCGTCTTGATGCTTTGCACCATACAGGGTTGCGTCTCAGCTCTGGTACCTTTCGTTCGAATCCCGCCCTCAGTTTGTATGTTGACACTGGCTTTCTCTCTCTTCAGGACCGCTGTGATCGCTACTGTCCTCGCTATCTTCCGCGGTCCTTACAACATCCTACCTCTTGCCTTTGTCGTGCTTTAACTTCAACCCGTTCTCGCAAATTTAATAAGTCAATATTGACTTATTAAATATGTGCATAGGTGACATACTTAACATAATAGATACCCTTAAAAAGATTCATAGAAAACACCGACCTTACCTAACCTTGTTAGTATCTTAAGATAAGCATCTTATTGCTTCGTAATTACAATTATTACTTAACCTATACCTATTATAGGTTAGGTAATAATTGTAATTACAAAGCAATAAGATGCTTATCTTAACATACTAAGTAGGTTAGGTAAGGTCGGTGTTTTCTATGAATCTTTTTAAGGGTATCTATTATGTTAAGTATGTCACCTATGCACATATTTAATAAGTCAATATTGACTTATTAAATTTGCGAGAACGGGTTGGAGGAGAAACATTAGAAATATGAACAGAAAGAGAATCCTGTAAGCGAGATAACCGGGCAGAAAGAGGGAGACGATGAAGAGGAACAAGAGCTACAGGAGAAGGAAAAGTTAAACAACCCGTTCTCGCAAATTCGTAAAGTCAATATTGACTTATTAAATATGTGCATAGGTGATATACTAAACATAATAGATACCCTTAAAAAGGTTCATAGAAAACACCGACCTTACCTAACCTTGTTAGTATCTTAAGATAAGCATCTTATTGCTTCGTAATTACAATTATTACTTAACCTATACCTATTATAGGTTAGGTAATAATTGTAATTACGAAGCAATAAGATGCTTATCTTAACATACTAAGTAGGTTAGGTAAGGTCGGTGTTTTCTATGAATCTTTTTAAGGGTATCTATTATGTTAAGTATGTCA